CCCTTTTCGGTGTTCCTTTCATTTGAAGGCCGTCATAATGCTGCTCCACTGCTAACCTGTATACCCCCACTCGGAATAATAAATATACCTTCTGTAAGTATTGCTTAGTAGCACAACTTATCGTATATAAGAGAGTAGGAAACAAAGGTAATATTGCAACTTAAAACTAAAAGTTTTTTCTATATGTTTTTTGTGTTTGCAATCCCTGCGTGAAAACATATGCCATGACATTACTATATGCTTGTAGCTTAAATAGGGTTTGAAATGGTATATGGGGTCAGAGATTAGGGTTATTTTGCGATTATCGATACGAGATTTTAGCTTTCGGGATCATACCCGCTGTGATTAAGTCAAGGATGAGTTTCATGAAAATGTATAAAATCACTCAGTTTGGTTGATGTTATTTGAACAGAAACTTGGGATCAGGTAGAAGGGTTTTTGAGGAAGAAAAAGTGATCATCAACGAAAAAATATTTCTATATATCCTGAGTCTATTAAGCATTTTCTTTCCTATTATTTTGGCCTTTTCATCGTATGTATCAGTATAACAGACATCTTTTCGATATTTCGAAGTCATGATATCCTGGGTGCAATCGGTTTTTATAAGTAATATAAATCGACCGGCGCTCACTCTATGAGACTCAATAAACATCAAGAATTTATACAATGTATCTCTAAGTTCATTTTAAAATTAGTTTCAAGCACTATGCTTTAAACGAACAGTTTTCAGGGGTAATATAGCGTGACTGATCGAGGAAACATCCGATTAACACGTTACCCACTTAACATCGTGTTTAATTGAATTGTTTCTAGCTTATATGGCAGCTCTAGGGTGAACCTATCTCCATGCAATCACGGCCTTATAGTAGTTATAAATAGTAGGTTCACTCACCTGTCAAATGTCTTTGGTATATTGATTCACGGTACAGCAGGATCTTGTATGAAAGATCTTTTAAACTCGTCGGGAACTGTAAAGAGAGAGACTCTGCTCGCAATCTCGAATGTATTGAATTTGCTTACCATAAGTTATGTTGGTTATGCACATGTGTCAACATGTGTGTTCTCATGTTTCAATTAAGTCTTCTCATATGAAAATCTACTGGAACGGGGACGGAGAGAATTCACCAGACGTTTCCTAAAAAGAAATAAACTCATATCAAACAATTGCTTCGAAGAAAAATTCATATGGTAATCTTACCTTATAAGGAAGTACCATATCAAACAATTGCCTAACATTCGACGGGCTACCTGTGTGTTTTGTTTTTTTTTTTTGTTGGTTCCCTTTTTCAAGGATGGGAGGGGATTAGGACAAAATTATAATGGGCGACATGTTGTAAAGCAATTTCTCTGCAAATTCTGTAAGTTTTAGCCATTTTAAAGCACTAAAATGTGGAAAAAAACTTGAAAAAAACTTTCTAACGTACTTCCTTATAAGGTAAGATTACCATATATGGTCAGCAAAAGTTTGGCAAACGAATGAATTTTTCTCTGAAGCAATTGTTTGATATGGATAGAAAGTTTTTTTTAATTTTTTGTTTTGTTCCTTTTAGTGCTTTAAAATTGCTAATTCTGTGAGGACTCTCCTTCTTCAAATTAACTGCCATGCTGCTCTTCTGCCGCGAACAAGCATAAAAGGGCATAAAAAGTGTCTCTCATTACAAAATATGTTAGAGAYGGCTCCTGGATGAGCTGAAACACGTGTTAACAGACAGATATATCCAGCTAGCAACAAGAGTTAAATTCCTCATTTCACGTGTAAGATCGCGATTACTATACAGCGTTCAAGCCTGGGAGCTTTCAGAAGAGGAACTGAGGAAGTTGRAGGTTATAAGAAAAATGGTTAGAGGAGACTACGCAAAAATGATCGTCGGAATGAATCAGTTGACGTTAACTGGAGATTTGAAATTTCAAATGAACAACTGTGTAATATCACAAGGACCGATTCGTAACTTCGTAACAACTAAGGTATATGGTCGATGTATGTAGGTTGAGTACTGACGTCCTCCAGAAGCTATTTTGGCTCGGAGAGTGGAATATGGAAAAATGTAGAGCTTCTACTTTACATTGATAAAGTACAAGTTAGACGGCAGATGATGTGTAAAGAGATCATTTTTTGAGATTTCTTGAGAACATGGACTCATGAAAGATCGCCCGGGCTACAACTCGCCCGTGTGAGAAAACACGATGATGATGATGATGATGGTGATGATGATGATGATGATGATGATGATGATGATGACGGTGACGGTGATGATGATGATGATGATGGTGATGATGATGATGATGATGATGATGATGAATGACTAGCCTCCTCCGCAGGCATCACAAAGAATCACAAAGACTCACGGGATTCCTGTCTTTTTTGGGAGTCAAAAGAGGGAGAATGGGGGCGAGAAAAGGGAGTCCCTAGCGGCCAAGATGACCGTTACAAAGGAAGCCCAAAGGAG